CCACGAGTGTTTCCTGTGTAGTAAAATAGGGCCAACAGTAAAGATAAAGAACAAGTTTCATTACAATGAGAGTAAATATGGGACACAAATCAAGACTTCATGAAAACGATGGACATTACAGAACAAAAATACTTTGTAAAACAAATAATATCCTCTTCAAACCTTTTGCATAACTTTGCTTTTCCACTGTGGTGTTAGGGTGTTAATTTAAGAAGAAATGTAAGAGAAACTCTTTAATCCCAGATTCTGGGGTGGCTGTGGCTGAGTGGTTAGCGCAGTCATCCTCCAATGCAAGAGTTGGGGGTTCAAATCCACCAGCAGTCACATGCTGAAGTGTCCCTGGGCAAGACACTGAACCCCTCATTGCCTCCAATGTGTTTCCCATCAGTGCATGAATGTGATAAAGCTCTGATTAATCTTTGTATAGATCTAGTAGAGTGATGTATGAATGAGGGCACAGATTGGAGCGTAAAGCACTTTGAGCGTCTTGATAAGATAGAAACGTGCTATATAACTGCAGTCTATTTACCATTTTTTTCCTTCTTTATGAATACATTTTTCTCTAAAATAAATATGAGTGTAGTACAAATAGGAGATCAGTGTGTTTTATTTAAAATAGGACTAAAACAAGTTCACCCTCACACTACACAATTTATACATCTGCATAGATGTTTTGTGTTTGTTTTGACATGTTTCAGGACATTATTGGTCATAAAGGAGCACAGTGCTTAAAAAAAATCCACGTCGAAGCCCTTCGTTGCACGTTTCCTCACAGGCAGGTCCATGATCTAATGAATCAATCCAACTGTTTGACGTTTCTGCAATTTTCAGAACATTTGATATTTAGATTGATTTTTTCCATCTTAACTTGAAGGTGGCCAGTCATGCAACATTTAAGTCACAGTAAATTAAATGAATGTAAAAACATCATAAAACATTAAAAATAAAGGAGCAAAAAAAATAAAATAAAAAACACAAAAATATAATTATCTAACACCCAAGTAAGCGTTAGACAAAAAAAGGGACTTGCGGTTAGGAATTTATGATTAATCCTAATACAAGCAAGGTTTCATTCCTAAACTGGGTATGAGCATTAATAAACATTAATAAAATAGATATATGATTCACTAATTTGTCCTTTTATAGAGAGTGCCCAAGTAGATAATAAGAACTTGTACATTTATTTAAAAAACTAACAATATTCATAGTGATGCCATTCGGAAATAGGTCAATATTATGATCCATTTCTTTGTTTTTGCATCATGTGCAAATCTTATGACAAACTGTCCAGCAGCCTTTGGTGCTATGTGAGCATCTGGCCATCAGGTGACTGAAAATGGGTCACAGCCAAAAAATAGGGTCATAAATAACAGTGTGGGTAAAATCAGGTGAGTAGATGAATTCGACGCCTAATCAAAAGATATTTACTGTTGTGCTGATGGTGGGGAGTGAAATCATTTGAGGCTTTGAGTATAAAGTTAGTCACTTGATAAATGAGTCATTGCTGCGAGATGAACTGAGACGTGAATTGTGAAATCATCTGAGCAGCGCATATGAAAGGATTGCAACACATGAATTACGCATGCCAGATAGAAGATGTGTCACAACCCGGCTCCGCCCGGCTCCTTTAGGTTTATTCAAACATTTCAGTTTTCACCTCTGAGAAATTATTGAGCTGTCAAACTAAATCAAACGCACTCCAACCCATTTTTGATCACCACATGGGTCTCTCTTGCACTTAGAAGTAATATTTTTGTGTCCTTCCAAGATAGGAACAATTTCAGCTAAACGAAGTGTCAGTAATTATAAATTCAGCCTTCAGAACAAGTTGGACTAGATTTATGTGGATGAACCCACAGTAGAAAACCACAAGCTGGTTGTCAATGACAGATGTGTTTCTACAAAACACATACCACATGGCATTGTTCATGTTGGCCTATTATGACAAATCACTTACCAGAATGGTAATCTAAAATATGAAAGTCTGAAAACATTTTAAACCATAAATGAACTTAGTACTGTTATGTACCCTCAAAGACCATCAAACCTAGGAGACACATGTGTAAAACTTTTTTATTTTTTTTAAAATGAGCAGATAAAATGTTATCAGTCATATCAGAGAAGTCTTTCATTACCTGTTGCATCGGTGACTAATAAGCAGCACCTGTTCATCCCTTAGTCTGACTAAGTCTCCACTGGTTTCCCAGGATAATGTGATTTATCATACATGTTTTCTAATGACTCACTCGACTGGATTAAGAAGAGGCTTTTATCTGTTCATTATTGGAAAAATGTTTCACATTTTATTCCAAGACAGAAACTCCACACATCAGATTAAAAAAATCCTTATATATATTCATACTTCCTTTTAAAAATAAAAGCCTATAGCATTCTTTGAAGGAATGCATATTGTCCGTTGTCTTTTATGCCAGAGATCTAAACTAAAACCATCTTATGCTGCTGAGAAGGGACAAAGTTCTGGCACATGCTCTGCAATATTGTGAAATCTTGCACAGTTTTACTTATTGAATGTGTTCAGGATGACTGCTGATACCACAACAAATTTAGCTCAGTGTTTGTAAAACTGACTGAGTTATATCCAATTCTATACTGGCTTATCTTGAATTGGTGTGACTCCAAATATTAATCAGTTTTAGACGTACAAGCAAGGATTCGTTTTGAGGAATTTAATTCACATCTGTCCACTGGTTCATGAGATATTTTTCTAACAGACAGACAGGATTGACACCAATGGCCAGTGTTTTAAGCAAAACCAGTCTGCAATGTGCAGTCTAGAGGCATGTGTTGTACTTTGTATATAAAGTTCAGCAACTACCACACCAAAGTTGTGTCTGAAATTTGTAAAACTGGCTGAGTTATCGCTATTTTTGTATAGGTTGCTTTGCTGTGGCAGCCATCTTGAATGTGGCTGACTCCAAAAGTTAATCAATTGTAGATGCACATCATATGTTTATTTCCTGGCAGTTTCATCAATATCCGTCATATTTTGCTAACACGGCAAACAAACACACAAGACAGACAAAAATATTGCCATTGTCTTTGGTGGTGAGCAACGATGAAACAAATTGAACTGTTAGAAGAAGATTCAAGCCTTCAATTACATCCATTACAAGTTTTCTACTTTTTCATGCATTCCTGTTTAGTTGTTGTACTGTGCTGCACTTTATTTAGACCCATCCAAAACTTTTGATACTGCAGATCATGACATCTTATGCCATAAGTGCTGCTGTTCGACATATTGTTTTTATGCTACTAGTGCTCAGTGTATATTTAGTTGATGTTTTTCTTAGTTCATATCTTAGATCTTATTACTGTTTTTATTTTATATTTTATTGCTGGATGTAACTGGGACCCTGTGTAAACAATTTCGTTCCACCACATGTACCACATGGGGTGCGAATGGCAAATAAACAACCTTGAATCCTTGAATAAGCTCTCAGATATCAGTTTCTCAGATCACACTGTTGGTTGGTTTCTAACTATCTCTCAGGTCAGAGGCAACGTGTACAACACAATGGTACTTTGTCTAGCAATTTAATGGTCACTAATGGTGTTCCACAAGGCTCAGTTTTAGGACCTACTTACCCTTTTTACAATTTATGTAAGTAATATAGGCCAAAACATTCCTGAAGCCTCTTTGCATCTCTATGCTGATGATACAATCGTTTATTGTTGAGCAAACACGGTTGCCAAGGTTTTCCATCTTCTACAGTCTACATGCGACCTCATTCAGTCAGACTTGTTCCATCTCAAACTGGTGCTAAATGCTGATAAAACCAAGGGGATGTTGTTTTCAGGCAGAAAGTTGGTGTCAGCCGTTCTTCCTCATATCTCATCCATGAATGGTGTTCCCATTGAGTTTATGGATTCTTGGGGATTTTAATTGATACATATCTTTTAAGCCCCATATTGTAACATACTGAAATTGAAAGTGGGTTTCTTTTTCAGAATCAGATCTTGTTAAAGTCTGAACACCAGAAAATGGCTCGCAGCTGTCACTTTCTTACCAGCTATCGATTATGGTAATATTATTCATATGAATGTCCCTGCCAGCTCCTTGCAGATGTTGGAGGTGGTCTACCATGGAGCGCTAAGGTTCATAATTGGTTGTAACTACCGTATCCATCACTGCACTCTATACTCAATGATAAGTTGGCCATCCTTATCTACAATCTCTCCTTGGTCTGCTGCCTTCTTATATCTCCTTCCAACATCTCACATCGTTAGTGCAGTTACAGCGTGCACTCTCAGGCCGTCATTACCTGCAGTGTTCCTTCAGTGTGAACTGAACTTGGTAAAAAGGCTTTTTCCTACTCTTCTCCTGTAACACTTTGCAACAAGATGTGAAGCTGTCCACTTTGATTTCTTTAAAGGATTTTAAACATTTGATAAGGTCAGCAGAAAAATCAAAGCAAAATGTTCTTGTTTTTAGTATTAAATTTTGTTTTACATTGCACTTTGATATTATAGTTTTTAATGACTTTCATTGTTTTATTGTACTTGTTGTCTGTCTGAACCAGGTGTCTCTTGAAAATGAGTCCTTGAGACTACATGTATAAATAAAGGTTAAATAATAATAAATAAATAAATAACCTGACCAATTAATGTCTGAACATTCAAAGAATTAGGAACAAGTGGCTTGAACAAACGTAACAAGCGAGAAATGTGTAAAAATGACCAGGTACAAGACAGAAAATGAATGACAAATAGCCAAAGTCCAAAAAATAAAACTAGTCAAAAAACGGGCAAAGTTTCTCCAACTCTACCGGGTGTGACGCTAACCGGAAGTGACGACAACAAAAGGTTTAACTTTTAAATATTTACGCTTTAGTAACATCTCTGACGCCCATATCTTTACAGTCGTCTTCTAAACGAAAAGTTCCGGTAGGCACGCGTTTTAAAGTGGATTTATTGGCGTGAACTGGGACGAGTTTGACCTCCCATGCCGTGATGCACTTCCTTTTTGCCATCTTGTGGAGGGGTTGAGCGGCAGGCAGGAGTTAGCTGCCCGTTAGCTCACCGCCGCTTCGAGAAAGTGGTTTTCTGTCAGCTCGCTGCCCACACGACGACAGGCAAACTTCTCCGACTTTGTGTCACTCCCCCTTCGTCTTCTGCTGGACTAATGTTTCATTTTTGGATACAGCTGCTGAGTTTGTTTACATCGCGATGGCGCATATGCTCCTCCAGAAGCAGGGGAAACTAGCCGACTCCAGCTACCTGTGCTAACTTGGTGAGCATTGAAACACACTCGCTCCTGAGAGATCGCCTCGGACTAAAAACGAGATGAGCAGTATGGAAATGTACTGTGACGGTACGTCTCTTTATCTCGTTTCTCAGCTGTGAATTGCTTCGCGAAGACATTGTGAGTTCAGCGTTTGCATCTGGACGGACGTAAGCCCAATCTTGAACGATGTCGAAAATGGCAGGGAAGAAGAAAAGTTGTTTCCAGATCACGAGTGTCACGCAGGCTCAGGTGGGTGCGAGCTGCGTCCCCGACGACACGGAGAGTCTGGACGATCCGGACGAGTCCCGGACTGAGGACGTGTCATCGGAAACGTTCGACGTGTGTCGGGTCGACCAGGGGGTGTGTGATCGGAGCTCACCGGAGGAAGCCCTCAACAATGGTGGCGAGTATCAGGAGGGACAGCTGCCTTACACAGGACCTGTAAACGGAACTCTCTGTTATAAAAGTGCACCTACTGGTTATGTCACCCCACATAATGTAGGGGGAAGTGTTCCTGTTCCAAGCTCCAACACGGTCCCTGCAGCCTCTGTGGCTCCCACAGCTCCCAGCAATAGTTGTAGTTCCCGGTTTAGAGTAATTAAACTTGACCATGGTACTGGAGAGCCCTTCAGACGGGGCAGGTGGACATGTACTGAGTTCTATGAGAAAGATTCAGATTCAAGTGTTAATCGAACTGTGGACAGCATAAAGCCGACTGTAACCCTCGATCAAAGTATAGACCGGGACAGTGGATTAGGAGCCACTATTATGTCTGTAGTCAATAACAGTGCGTTTTCTGCACAGGCTTTTGAAATTTCCACTGATAGTGGCTACTCGGTCTCTGTAGGACATCCTACCCACTCCCACACTTCAGATCCTTCACAGCAAGGGTACATCTTTTCTCCTCAGATTGGAAGTGGAGCAAGTGCCTTCCAGCCTATCGGGTTCACAGCTGCAGCATCACAGCAAACCAAACAGGCTCAGGTCAATATGCAGCCCGTTACTCCCCAAAACTTCTTCTCCAGCAGCCTCAATGGTGTCCACCAAGGTGCCATTATTACCCCTGCCTCACAGTCCCAGCAGTTTGCTTATTCTAATCATCCGACTGGCTTCTCCTCTGGTCACCCAGACTATTATCAGCAACACTTTGGGTTAAACATAACATCCTCATCTGTGGGGTCTTCAGCCAGCCGGGTGTCCTCACCTCCATTCACACCTGATCCAGGAATACAAGGGCTGGTCGGACAAGCAGGCCCAGCCCAGGGTCTTTTAAAACAACAAACTGGCATGGCACCAGTCGGTATCCTATCCCCTGCCCTTCCAGGACTCACACAGCAGCAATCTGTCAACCAGACTCAGCCTTCAGGAGGGTTAGGCATTGCCGCTGCACCCTCAGCAACCACCACCTCCTCCTACAGTGGTGGCCAGAACGTGCCTGCCGCAGTGCCCAGTACAACCAACATAACTCTGGGTGTGTCGAGTCAGGTGCCCAGCACAGGACACATCCAGCTCCAAGGAGCTCATGGGGGAATCACAACAAGCCTTGGCCCTGACTTCAGTAACCAGGCAGAAGATTGTAGGCAAAACTCTGATGTCCTACCTCACCACAGTGCCAGTGCAGTAACTGGAAGTGACGGTGTAAAGTCTCCTGTTAGCGACGGTTTCAACCTGCCCACCCCCACTGTCACCAGCCTTTTTAACATCCAGATACCCCTGGACGAGGATGAAGACAGGTAGGTTATAATGCAGGAATTACTGGTGATAATTCCCCACTCTGATCTGTAATACTGTATTACAAAATGAACGTCTCTTTCTCTGGGTAGATCATGAAAAATGAGTTTATGTGCAGCTGTGATAGACTGATGAACGTGTTAAGAATGTTTGCCCTCATACTAAACATTCCTCTTCATTGATGTGGACATTTAGAGAATGCATCTCCCTTCAGCACTGCCCACATTAAAAAAAGCTAAAACTGGTTTTGCACAAAATATGTTAGCATGAAGTGTTTCCCCATTTTATTGGTTTTTATGTATAATTTCAGAAGATAAGGCTATCGGAGTCAGAACAGAGCTGATTAAGAGGAGGAATATATATTTTCATTTACACTTTATTTATACAGGTAATCTCATTGAGTCACGAGAACTCGTTTTCAAAAAAGACCGGTTTTTGGGAGCAGATGGTGAGGGTGAAGGGCCTTGCTCAGGGGCCCAGGGTGGGGCAAATTAGGGTGGAGGCAGGTGTGCGTGTTTTACCTTTATTTAACACCCACATTTTGAAGTTGACGGCACCAGGAGTTGAACCTGTGACTTTCCGATCATAGGTCCATCTTCTCTAACCTCTGCGCCAACACTCCCCCATAGGAATTATTGAGTTTTGTCATGAATGAGAATATTAGACACTTTATCTCAACATCTCCGCCTTTTTGGGCTTTAAATAAGCCCATGGGTTGAGTACAATACACAAACTAGCTGGCATTTGTTGCTGGGAATAAATCCACTAACATAAAGAAGGTGGCTTTCATTTTTCATCCAGGAGACATAGTTAACATACTCGCATCGGGCAGTTTTCCCTGCCTTCCAACTTTAAACCTCATAAATACAGACTTGCCTATGGTACTCTCCTAATGTACACACTCTGGTTTCGAGTCTGTCAAACGGCCCTCACAGAGCTCGAGCTAAAATGTTGCAACACTCAAGCAGCGAGACGTGCTGCTGGAGTCTAGGTGATGTTTGAGCCAAGAATAACCTAAATGAGAGCTGGCGTCCAAGCACGTGCGTAGTCTGGTCCCGTATTTATATAAGCCTCAGTATTTGTCAGTGTGCTTTGTTCTGTGCTCGTTATAATCCAGTCAGAGTGGGAGGTTTTATTTGTAATATTAAAAGTCTTAGTTCTGATTTTTATTTTCAGACAAACAAGCAAACGTTGATTGAACGGTGTTGGTGGGAGAACATAGTTTGTAATGATCCTTATTTTGTGATAAGAAAAGCCACTGGTTGTTTTCAAGTCCATTCCTCAGGGTAAGGGTGTGTTTGTGTAGATTTGAGCTAAGTGAAGTAAACAGTGACTCAATGTGTTAATTTTCACGATTCCAGTAGCAGGACTGGCAGACTGCACCTGAACACGTACCACATGCACATACACACACCTACATGAACAATAGCTGGCCTGTAATCTACCCCATGACAACAGAGATGGGCAGACTGAATCAGCAGGACGCTGGCTGCTTCTGCTCCTGCCCACAGGACTATCAGTGTTGAAGCCCCTTATGACCTGTTGTCTACCAGGGAAGAGTAACTCCTCTTCTTGTTCCCTGTATTCTACCTAGTTTGTCGAAGTAAAACTCACACCTAGGATTTTTTATTTCAGTTAGTTGTCTAAATTATCCAGTGTAAGAAAAAAGGTTGCAATGACATAACATGATTTAACCTTATTTTTTTGTTATCCACCTGGATGATTGAGCTTACAACCCTTTTTATGAACCTTTGGCCTTGGTTGTCCTCAGCAATGAAGGCTACCTATGGACAGATCTAGTTGGCAGACCATAGACTGAGGAAGTCCTTTGGATGGGGGACAAAAAATTAAATTTTCACTTAAAGAAACTGGTCCAGATGACACAGATGTAACCTTTTTTTCTTATCCAGTGTAAGTTATTCAGATCATATCAACAGGATAAAAGTAACATATTTACTAATGTCAATATTAGGCTATACATTTGAGGTTTCTTATTGAACAAACATGCTATTTAGGAGACTGTGGCTTTTGTGAACTTTTGAGAAATTTTTATTAGTTTATTTTGGTTCAGTTTATAGTTTAGCTAGTAGTGACGTACAAAAAAATGGTTAAATCATCATGTCATCCGGAAAAGTTTCTTTTTTTTGGAAGAAACGTTTCATCTTTCATCCGAAAGACTTCATCAGTCTGAGGCCTGCCATCTCAGATCTGTCTTATAAATAGCCCATCCTTGATGTGTTTCAAGCCAGCCCTTTGTGGAATTCAAAGAAAATAGCTTTACACATGCAAAAAAAGGGGTACCATCCATCCAAAACGATTAGTCATCATGCATAACAATTAGGGATGCACAATATTAACGGCATGGTATCGGCCGATATTAGCGTTAAAGTTCAATATCGGACATCGGCCATTCCATTAAAATAATTTGCCGATATAAAAGGTGCTGTTTTTGCCTGCAGCGGCAGCGCAACGCGATGACGTCACGGCAGAAAGGAAAATTCAAAATAACGGCGGTGTGGAAGTTTTATTTTTTGTTGGTGAGGATGTCTGATTCCGAATATTTATGGACTACATCGTCCGCAGTTGGAGATATTTTCCTGACGTAACGTTACCCGAGTTACAAGCCGTCATTTGCGACGTCATTGAGAAGCTAATAGCTGATAGCACGACTTGTTGGGTGAATTTTACCACAGACATTTGGACATTGTGTTAGCCCCGTTAGCATGGTTAGTCTTACGGCACAATGGATAGACAAAAACTTTTAACTTAAAAAGGCTGTCCTTCATGCACAGGAGTGCAGAGGATCCCACACTGCAGCTAGAACAAGCCTCCACAAGTGAGACAGCATCACAGGTGACTAATGCTAATAAATAACATTTAACACTTTTCATTTAATATAAGTTAAAGTGCTATGCATATCATATGGCTGTTACTGGATATATGTCACCAGCTCTTACAGCTTTTGCACAATTTTTGTAGCAAATAAACCTAAATAAGAGGCTATGTTCTGACAAAGGAACGTATATAAAATATCGGCATCGGTTATCGGCCGAATAAGTTGTAACATATCGGATATCGGCCAAAAATCCAATATCGTGCATCCCTAATAACAATCAAATGTTTTAGGCCAGATGGCCAATTTGCTACTCTCAGAAACAGCCCGAGGACAACCGAGGCCAAAGTGGTTCAGTAGTGAAGTAGTTTTCGCTAACTGTAACCCTTGTCCTGGGGATTGTTTTCCAGCGTCCATTACATAGCACATTTTCTAAACTCTGTCCAAAATGCAATAAAACATGAATACATTATAAGTTTGGGTTGCAGTAGCTCAGCGATCAGGTGTGCTGTCTTTTTTTCCTTTATTGTAGATGGTTGTTATATTTTTGCTACTTTTTATGATGAAATCTCTGAATTTGAATAGAAAACCTCAAAATTTTAGGCGAGCTTTTGGAACCCAAAGGCAAGTTGGCAGCCATAGCCTTAATTTTAAACTTCATTCAGTTATAATTAAAATGCCTTGTTAAGTCGTAACCTTATAGTAAATGTCTTACAGTACCAAACATATATCAAAGAACACACCCGTACATGACTTGACATGGAATTTTAAACTTTCTCCTCTTCTTGGCATGGGAGCATTGTTCTGTGTACAAACTCTCTGAGGGTTCTGCTCCCAAGTTTCATTGTTCTGTTTTGAATTAGAGTTCATCACAAAAGTGGAACAATGCATCGTGGGGGTGGAGTTGTGAGATAACAATGATTTCTCTTCATCTTGAAATGGTTAGCGTTTGTGCTCAGCACACCCTGTTGCTGCCAAGTAAAGTGGTGAAGCTGCCCCTGGGCCAAATTGGTTTTCATTAATCGGAGCACTTGGCCTCCAGTTTGATTAAATTTTTTCTTGGGTAGACCACCCTCCTATTTACTGCCTCAGTAAGAAATGATGATTAGTAGTTCATAAGTGATTATTTTCCCATGTAAATGTTGTGACTCACTTATATAGCAGGATAAGAAGCAAATTACATGTAAGAAAAAAAAGTCTTGTTTTATTTTAGAGAAGAATGAGCTTAGTAATTAACAATAATTTGTCACAAATGAGTATAGATTGATCATTAGTAACTTGTGCACCAGTTCTGTATTAATGATACTAATATATAATAATACATGCCATAAATTTACATTACCATGTGTTTTTTGTATACCAGAATAACTGAATGCCATATAATGGTTCCTAGGCTTCACACTTTTTGGCAGATTTTTTTTACTTGATGTATTTTTTTTTCTCCTGTGACCTTTCTCTTTTACTAAAGTACATAATTTTCAGTGACACTAATGAAAAGAACATTCACCTTGTGCAAATTTGACATGTTCCAAGCTGCTGTAGCATGCAAAGCTTTTATAATTACCAGATAGATTGCTTTTATATTTGTCTGCACTTTAGACCTTTTTTGCTTTTAAATAATTTTGTGCTACCTGTACATGACTGATGTTCCTATATTGTATTAATGTTTTTATTTATTTTTTTTTATTTTAACTTATTGAATATATTATATATATATATATCACTATAATTAAATTAATTTTGGTTTATTCGTATAACGTCAAGTCACAACAGAAGTCATCTCAGGGCACTGAACAGAAACATTCATACATAAAAATAACAAGTTAACATTATTTATCTGAGGAGCAGACTGCTTTGAGTTTAACTCCATCGTAGAACTCTCATCTTGAGCAAGCATGAAGGCGACAGTGGAAAGAAAAACTCCCTCATGAGGAAGAAACCTCCAGCAGAACCAGGCTCAGGACAAGCAGCCATCTGCTTTGACCGGCTGGGTTTGAGAGGAACAGATACACAATGGCAGGTCCAGAATCACATGTTAAGATAGAAATAGTATAGAATGAAAACTATTCAATTTTTACAAATCATTTAAGGAAATGAGGTCAATATGTCCTCTAGTAGTCTAATCTTAAGGCAGCATAACAAGCCAACCCTAATTATAGGATTTATCAA